GATTTATTATTATTCATGATAATAAACAAATATATTTCTCCCGCAAATCAGTAAGCCTTACAACGATCTCGAAATATCTTCTATTTTTGTTCATAATAGCCATTCCATAGCTGGAACATCCAGGGTATCTTTGGCGGTAGCTTTGCAGCGATAGTCTGTAATAGTGTAGTTAAGACTATCCGCGTCTGTTACGCGGTGGACCGAGATTCCATCCCCCGACCTTCGGATTAACTTTTCAAAGAAATTTGTTTTTCGGTTGACTGTCAGGAAATTTTATTCTAATCTTTGCTCCATAATAGCCGTTTCCTGAGTGGAAGGTGCACGATATATTTGGCATGCTTTCAACAACAGTAATCCTCGGTAGTATAGTGGTGAGTATCCCCGCCTGTCACGCGGGAGACCGGGGTTCGATTCCCCGCCGGGGAGAAATGCTTTTAAAGAATTTTTACGTAAACTTATCAGACACCTTGTTCGTACGTTTCCTTCCGGGATTTCAAGATCCCAATTCGATAATGACTTTATTATTATTCATGATAACAAACAAATATATTTCTCTCGCAAAGTCGGATGAGCCTTTCAAGGAGATTCTTTTGTACACGTATTATATTGAATTGTTTTCTACTTTTGTCGTCCATAACAGCCATTCCATAGGTGGAACATCCTTTGGCGTTAGCTTTTCAGCCGTTCAGCGATAGTCTACCATACTCCATAGTGTATTAATGGCATTCATGATAACAAACAAATATATTTCTCTTGCAAATCAGATGAGCATCTCAAGGAGATTCTTTTGTACAATATCTCGAATTATCTCCTATATTTTTGCCCATAACAGCCATTCTACAGCCTCTACAGGTGGAACAGTCGAGGGTATCTTCGGCGCTATATAGTCAGTTTGCAGCGAGCCTAGTGTAGTGTATATAGTAATGACTATCCCCGTCTGTCACCCGGAATACCGCGGTTCGATTCCTCGCCCTGGAGGAAGGTATGCCTTTACTATATAGATCGTTTAAGAAACTTATAACTTTTATATTTCTTCCGATTCAGATGAGCGTTTCGAAGAGATTTGTTTTTGGTTGACTGTCACAAAATTTCTTCTAACCGTCATCCGTAATACCCATTTCCTCAGTGGAAGGTCAACGATATATTTGGCAGTGGTTCGACAGCAGTAATCCTCGGTAGTATAGTGGTGAGTATCCCCGCCTGTCACGCGGGAGACCGGGGTTCGATTCCCCGCCGGGGAGAGCCGTTTTTAAAGAATTTTTTTCTTGTTATACATTTCCTTCCGGGATTTCAAGATCCCAATTCGTTAATTAATGACTTTATTATCATTCATGATAACAAACAAATATGTTTCTCTTGCAAATCAGATGAGCCTTTCAAGAAGATTCTTTTGTACACATACTATCTTGAATTGTCTTCTATTTTTGTTGTCCATAACAGCCATTCCATAGGTGGAACATCCTTTGGCGTTAGCTTTCCAGCGATAGTCTACCATAGTGTAGTAATGACTATCCCCGCGTTTGTTACGCGGGGGGACCGAGATTCCATCCCCCTCATGAGAAGGGTTTAATTTTTATAACTTTTATATTTCGGCTTCCGATTCGAATGAGCGTTTCAAAGAGATTTGTTTTTCGGTTGACTGTCACGAAATTTCTTCTAACCGTCATCCGTATTCCGTAATACCCATTTCCTCAGTGGAAGGTCAACGATATATTTGGCAGTGGTTCGATAGCATTAATCCTCGGTAGTATAGTGGTGAGTATCCCCGCCTGTCACGCGGGAGACCGGGGTTCGATTCCCCGCCGGGGAGAGACGTTTTTAGAGAACATTTTTCGTAAACTTTTCAGACACCTAGCTTGTTCGTACGTTTCTTTTCGGGATTTTAAGATTTCAATTCGTTAAAAACAAGTATATTCCTCTCACAAATCAGATGAGCCTGATGAGGAGATTCTTTTTTGTACATTCTCGAATTATCTCCTATTTTTGCCCATAACAGCCATTCTATAGGTGGAACAGTCGAGGGTATCCTAGGCGCTAGTCAGTTTGCAGCGAGCATAGTGTAGTGTATATAGTAATGACAATTCCCGCCTGTCACCCGGAAGACCGCGGTTCGATTCCTCGCCCTGGAGGAAGGTATGCCTTTACGATATTGATCGCTTAAAAAACTTATAACTTTTATATTCCCTTCCGATTCGGATGAGCGTTTCGAAGAGATTTGTTTTTGGTTGACTGTCACAAAATTTCTTCTAACCGTCATCCGTATTCCGTAATACCCATTTCCTCAGTCGAAGGTGAACGATATATTTGGCAGTGGTTCGACAGCAGTAATCCTCGGTAGTATAGTGGTGAGTATCCCCGCCTGTCACGCGGGAGACCGGGGTTCGATTCCCCGCCGGGGAGAGACGTTTTTAGAGAACATTTTTCGTAAACTTTTCAGACACCTAGCTTGTTCGTACGTTTCTTTTCGGGATTTTAAGATTTCAATTCGTTAAAACAAGTATATTCCTCTCACAAATCAGATGAGCCTGATGAGGAGATTCTTTTTTGTACATTCTCGAATTATCTCCTATTTTTGCCCATAACAGTCATTCTATAGGTGGAACAGTCGAGGGTATCCTAGGCGCTAGTCAGTTTGCAGCGAGCATAGTGTAGTGTATATAGTAATGACAATTCCCGCCTGTCACCCGGAAGACCGCGGTTCGATTCCTCGCCCTGGAGGAAGGGTATGCCTTTACGATATTGATCGCTTAAAAAACTTATAACTTTTATATTCCCTTCCGATTCGTATGAGCGTTTCGAAGAGATTTGTTTTCCGGTTGACTGTCACAAAATTTCTTCTAACCGTCATCCGTAGTCCGTAATACCCATTTCCTCAGTGGAAGGTCAACGATATATTTGGCAGTGGTTCGACAGCATTAATCCTCGGTAGTATAGTAGTGAGTATCCCCGCCTGTCACGCGGGAGACCGGAGTTCGATTCCCCGCCGGGGAGAGACGTTTTTAGAGAACATTTTTTCGTAAACTTTTCAGACACCTAGCTTGTTCGTACGTTTCTTTTCGGGATTTTAAGATTTCAATTCGTTAATGACTTTACTATTGTTCATGATAACAAACAAATATATTCCTCTCACAAATCAGATGAGCCTTATGAGGAGATTCTTTTTTGTACACTCTCGAATTATCTCCTATTTTTGCCCATAACAGCCATTCTATAGGTGGAACAGTCGAGGGTATCCTAGGCGCTAGTCAGTTTGCAGCGAGCATAGTGTAGTGTATATAGTAATGACAATTCCCGCCTGTCACCCGGAAGACCGCGGTTCGATTCCTCGCCCTGGAGGAAGGTATGCCTTTACGATATTGATCGCTTAAAAAACTTATAACTTTTATATTCCCTTCCGATTCGGATGAGCGTTTCGAAGAGATTTGTTTTTGGTTGATTGTCACAAATTTCTTCTAACCGTCATCCGTATTCCGTAATACCCATTTCCTCAGTGGAAGGTGAACGATATATTTGGCAGTGGTTCGACAGCAGTAATCCTCGGTAGTATAGTGGTGAGTATCCCCGCCTGTCACGCGGGAGACCGGGGTTCGATTCCCCGCCGGGGAGAGCCGTTTTTAAAGAACTTTTTCCTTGTTATACATTTCCTTCCGGGATTTCAAGATCCCAATTGGCCAATTCGTTAATGACTTTATTATCATTCATGATAACAAACAAATATATTTATCTTCCAAATCAGATGAGCCTTTCAAAGAGATTTTATTGTACACATACTATCTTGAATTGTCTTGTCCATAACAGCCATTCCATAGGTGGAACATCCTTTGGCGTTAGCTTTTCAGCGATAGTCTTCCATAGTGGCTATCCCCGTTTTCCGTATCCACCGAGATTCCATTCGCTGCCCTGGAGGAAGGTTTCCTTTTTATGACTTTTATATTTCGGCTTCCGGTTCAAATGAGCCTCACAAAGAGTTTTAACTGTCACGAATTTTCTTCTAATCTTAGCTTCATAATAGCCATTTCCCGAGTGAAAGGTGCAGCATATTTTTGGCATTCGTTCCGTCGCGGGAGAACCGTTTTTAGAGAACTTTTTTTCGTAAACTTTTTAGACACCTTGTTCGTACGTTTCCTTTCGGGATTTTAAGATTTCAATTCGTTAATCACTTTATTATTATTCATGATAACAAACATGTCTGTCGCAATTCCGATGAGCCTTCCAAGACCAAGGGCAAGGAGATGTTGTACACTTACTACACTATCCTTTGCTTTTATTATATTGATTGCTTAAGATATGTATGACATTTATATTTCTCTCTCGATTCGGATGAGCGTTTCGAAGAAATTCTTTTGTACTCTATTTTGAATTACCTTCCGTCTATTTTTCGTCCACAACAGCCATTCCATAGTTGCATGGAACATCTACGGTATCTTTGGCATTTGTTTTGCAGCAGTAATACACCGTTATACGCCGTGGTGTAGTGGTGAGTATGAGAGTATCCCCGCATGTCACGCAGGAAACTGGGATGCGCAGACACCTTGTTCGTACATTTCCAACGAGGATTCCGTTACAATAACAATAAATCAATACTTCTCCACCAATTTCGACGAGTCTTTTAAAGAGATTCTCTTGTAGACCGTTACAAATTAATGAAATAATCTTTAATTTTTATCGGGATAACTGCAATCCCCAAGGCTAAGTGGAATGTGGACGGTATATCTTAGGCCTTTGTTTGGAAGTTGTAGTCCTCCGTTGACCGTAGTCCGTGGGCAGTCATCTGGAGATGGATCTGATACAATAAGACTCGTTTCGAGGCTATAATAAGTTGCTGCAACTTGATAACAACATGGTATCACGACCAGGAACAAATTGACTTTTTTAGCGCTTTCAGCCGTGTACGGTGTATTGTAATACATGCCGGTAATTTGAGGAATATTACACGACGTTTGGCAAAAATGATCTAAGATTTCCGCTGGCCATTTCTTCCCAGAAATGAAGCAATTATTTTTACGGAATGAGCACATGGGAAATTTATAAATGCCGATGGTAGAAAATGGGTAATGTTCAAGCGTCCAGTGCTCCTTCCAGTTCAACCCCTAGTTCTTCTCCTCCTTCTCCTCCGCTCACAGCACCCCCGCCACCAACATCAGGGACACCAGAAAAGATAATACCAACACCTTTGGTTGGAAACCCCGGAACGTTTGAAGAATTGCATAAGAAGTGTAAAGGTGAGGCTGATATTTAAAATTATATATCATATTTGCACTAAATATTTTTTCATTTCATGATAGTGATACCTCATATCATGCTGTGGTATAGCTGATCATAATAATATTACAACGTGAAATATTCACCCTGAGTAGACAGTGATTGTGACCATTGTATACTATTATATTTTATGAAAACTTCCCCCCCCTACTTCCCCCTCCTCTAGTATAATCATAGTTGATATTTTGGTTTTTAGATGTCTTTCCACAATGTTTTGAGGGTGCAAAACTGCTCTTGAATAAAGGCATTAGCAGTCATTTTCAAGTTAGTCACAGTTTAGCATTAAGTTCATTGACACCGGGAACCTATCATTTTGGAGCGACATATGTTGGGGACAAACAGACTGGACCACATGAGGTACGTATTGCTTATATTTTTATTATGTTATAGCTGTATTTTTATTACACTTAACTTTTTGGCACCTGTACCACTCAGACTGCTGAGAAAAGTCCCTAAATTTTATGTATGGCTATTAGCATCCCTAGGCGGGTGCATTGGTTCAGTTTTTTGAAAATATTTTTTCAAAATGAGACCGTATGGTGGACTACCTAGATTGTTGTTTAACCTTCTAAATAGTACACCAAAATACTTTTAACAATAGGCAATATTTTCGTACATAATTCCCCAAATTTGAATTGATAGAGCTAACTTTGCATCCTTTCCCTGAACTAGACTAATCCAATCTTTTTTTAATTTGTTTATTTGTTAAAATTGCCTGTGGTCATGATACTTATCTCAATAAATGCACATGTTATCTTGTAAATTATTTTTACTACAGTCATTTCCTGTCATGGTTGGAGATATTGACTTAAAAGGAAATCTAAATGCACAGATTATTCACCAGTTTACTAGTGCAATCAGAGGAAAGTTTATTCTACAGGTGAGATGTGATGAGTGTTTTGTAGAAGCTGAACGATAAAAAGAGTATTACATTTTGTATATTTGGCTATACATACAAGATATATTTTACCAACAAAAACAATCAAAAACATGTGTACAATCCAAGTATTTTGTATGATAACTAATAGTTTTGGAAGAACACTTTGTTGATGTATAGCTGCAAATGTTTTCCTAAAGGAACCTCTATAGGAACAGGGTGTAAATAGGGTATAAATTCCCTTTTGGTACCTTACAAATGCACTTAACTTCCTGTTCTAAAAGTAAAAAAGAACACAACTCTAAGTCCATAACCTTACCTGCATGCTCATTAATTAACATGACTATGCCATTAGAGCCATTAATTCTTTTTGAAAGCCCCTGTTATGCATGATGTCTGTATTTCCATGCACTTTGCCTGATTGAGCAAAAGTCTTCTATTGACGTGTGCCATATTAATGGCAATATGGCACATGGACACGTCTTTATTGTGTGATTTCATTCAGACTCAAAAGAAATTTTGGGCCATGCAGCAAGTTGATGCAGAATATCGTGGCAGTGATTTTACTGCTAGTTTGACGTGTGTAAACCCTGACCTTTTCAAAGCATCCGGAATCATTGTTGCCCACTACCTGCAAAGTCTCTCACCTGGTTTATCGCTAGGAGCAGAATTTCTCTACCACAATGCAGCCAACCAAGAAGCCGCGGTCGTCTCGTTGGCTGGACAGTATAAAACCGATAATTGGACGGCATGTGCCACGGTTGGTAAGGCAGGATGGCACGCAAGCTACCATCATAAAGGAAACGAGAATGTCGATGTAGGAGTTCAGTACGAATACAATACACAGCAGGATCAAAGTTCTGTTAGTCTGGGATATCAGTTCAACGTCCCTAAAGCCAACTTAGTTTTTCGTGGCATGATGGACACAAACTGGGTAGTCGGAGCAGTACTTGAGAAACGTTTTCATCCACTGCCATTTACTTTTTCCTTAGCTGGTACTATCAATCATACTAAAGGAGAATCGCAATTTGGATTCGGCCTGACTGTTGGATAAACGTGGGTTAAAACAATTATACTTCGGCCAAACTAGAAAACCCTATATTACATCTTTGAAGTACCCCTTGCTTGAAGTATCACTCCTTGCCAATAGACTCGCTGTGAAGATCTATATACGTTCCTGAAATTCACATTAATGTCAAGGAAAGGAGAAATAAAATTGAACCTATTTTATAATGCTTTGCGTTTTTAATCTGCCATGTATTTCCATAACTTTTATAAGCTTGCGTTCAACATGTAGTACTGAGGCGACGACCAAGTTACTGTTTTTGTTGTTGTTGTTAGCGGTGTGTTGTTGTTGTTGTTGTTGTTGTTGTTGTTGTTCTTGTTGTTGTTTGCTTTCTAGTTTTATTATTATTATTTTTGCTATACCTATTATTAATATAACCAGATGTTGATTGGTCGAAAAAAGTTATTTGCACTACGATACAAATTTTTTTTTCATCCAAAATAAACAAAATGACTGAAAGTATTTGAATGAAAAAATACTGGTGAAAGTTTAAAGTTTCGCGGGACGGAGTTTTGACTGAAAATTTAAAAAACTTTAGGGATATTCGGGAGTTGTCAGGGAACTGTGACCTGTCCCTGAAAATGTTCTATATTTTTGTGTCTCGTTAATTAAAAAGGTCCTGAACTGCTTGTCCAGTTTCAATGTTGTTCTTTTCTTTCTTTTTATGCCTTTATGGTTTCGTTTTAGCTATTCTGTTATTTCTAGATTCTAAGTTCGATTTTGACTAATCAGCAAGGTTACGCATACGCACACTATTATGTACGCACACTACAGTGTTGGTGGTGTGACCAAGTGATTATTTAAGTTCAATGGTAGTATATGCTATGACCATTGAGTTCAATGGTATGACCAAATGAGTCAATGACTGTTCGAGTTTCATATCCGTAAAGCTTGAGTCTGCTCGACTGCATCCTCGTTCGGAACGAGGATAACAGGTAACGAGGATCATAGCAACGGAGCTAGGCCATATGTTAGTGCCAGTGCCCGCGCGATAGAGAAGAAATTTTTGGGGGTTTCTTTCGCTATTATTTATTAGTCATTTTCCCAAAGTTGTGTGATTGACTGAAAGTTGTCACGATCGACCATAAGTTATGGCAAATCTTTCAATGTTTCCGAATATAAGTGCTGACAATGATGAAAACTCGCCTATGAGTGTGGAAAGCCTATGTATGGCTTGCGAGGAAAAGGTACTCTTAGTACAATTATTACACTTTCATACAGGGCCAGCTGAAGTACCAGGGGGAGCACAGCAGCACGTCACGGTGCCCCCCTTTTTTAAGCACCAAAATGTTAGCTATACTAATGCGTACAATCCTAATTATTTTTTTACAAATTTTAAATCTTAACCCCAACAATGCTTTGAGATTAGTTCTATCACACTGTAGTTCTATAAAGGGTTGTATGTCAAAGCATCTGGTTGACAGCACCATTGGAAGTATACCTCTTAAAAGTTCACGCATATCTAGTATACCTAGTATACATGCCTATAATTGTGGACATGTTTCTCTACCAACTTTAATGCCACGGTCATACTTTAACACAAATATTTTGGGAAATGAAATATATTATTGGTGGTGGTGAGTAGTTATATAGGACCCCCCATGTTAATTTAAAGCTAGGTTACAGTGGCTTCTGTGCATCATTCTGCTCATTTCCTGAGCTGAAACATGTTTATTAAGTACTTTTATGAACATAAACTCTGGCTTATACTCATTTGAAAGTATAGCGAACCAAAATAGTGTCAAATACTCTGCATGACCATTCTTGATCATGTTTAGGAATATAGTCAATGAAAATGCATGTAAACAAGGCATTAGTGATTTCATTAGTGACTGTAACCTACCTTTAAGAAGATATGTGTTGGAAAAACTGAAAAGGTTTCAACCATTACATTTTCTTTGCTTTGGGGAAGGTGTAAATTATTATATTATTATTTTTGCATTAGTCTGGGCTTGTTTATTATTTTAGGGCACAACAAAGATTTTAATGACAAAGATCCCATACTTCCATGAAGTGGTAATAATGTCATTTGAATGTCAACATTGTGGAAATAGAAACAATGAAATAAATTCTGCTGGCCCTGTACAGTCACAAGGAATCAGGATTGAAATAAAAGTTGCTAAAGGTGTAAGTAGTTGCCACATTGGTATTGAATGATATATTGACCTGAAAGAAGCAAGTGTTAATACATTAACCTGCATTAACTTAGTCTCAAAACTGATCATCAAGGATCAAGGTTATTTTCTGTGCGTGTCTGCCTTAATTTACAGTACTGAACTTTTAGTGTACATTTTACCACCCATTTTTAGCCCTCATTGGAATGCATGCATGATCACATCTGATATAGAACTGAACCAATTTCAATGGAAATATGTGTTAAAGCATGATACTATGCACTCACTAGCAGTGTTAGAAATTAGCTTGATCAACATCAAGTGTACATTTCAAAGCATTAAATGACATTTACTACCTGTTTTTCCAAAGTTCAAATGTAATTGTATCAACTTCATCCCATAATTTAAATATCATAAATTAACACGTCTAATTTTAAAGGATCTCAATAGACAAATTATCAAGACAGAATCAGCAATGGTGAAACTGCCAGAGTTAGATTTTGAAATTCCAGCTTTCACCCAGAAAGGAGGTAATTTTTATATGATATTCACCTGTTGTTTTTCGATTTCGTATGTCCTGGCATGCTTAAACAAAGTGGTAGTTAGTAACTAACAAAATTTTTCCATGTAAACATGCATTTGTCAACCTAGAACTTAGCACCATTGAGGGTGTCCTGGAACGGGCGATTTCGTCTTTAGAACAAAGTCAACCGCTGCGAAAGGTAAGACTTTGGTAAAGGATTAAGAGACTGGGCAGGTCCTAAAAACCTATCATGATACACTGATCGTATTATTGATGGAACGAACGACTTAATTTAGGCTGTTGACCCGGAACAGGCGGAAAAAGTTGGTCAGTTCATAGAAAAACTAAAAACATACCGTAAAGGCGACGTTCCATTTACGTTTGTACTTGATGACATCTCTGGCAATAGTTTCGTGGAGAATCCTCACGCACCGGACAATGATGCCGCTATGACAGTTACGAAATACGACAGAACAGAAGATCAAAATCGGGCTTTGGGATTTATTGCAAGTGATGATGGTAGTGTGATTAATATTGGCAAAAAATCCGATGCTAGAAAATTAGCGACCACTATATGCTTTGCTCATTTGATTTAATGGCGAAGCAAGTTTGTATTTTCTTTGGCTGTCCTACAACAATTTCAGTTGTGTTTGATGATGTTTTCCTGTGTGATGTAAGAACTCACCACCGGCTATACACTGTGCTGGTGAGCTCTAAAGGCGAAGCAGCTTTCTGCGGTTGCCGATGGTAGTTTGGTCAGTCATTCGTTCATTGATTGGCATGTTTAATATCGTCCTTAAGTTATGCGATTTTTTTCCCTCTTGTCATTATTGGTTTCTTTTTAGCACCTGAGGAAAGCGCTCCAGAAGAATTCAACTTTAATGAAGAGGTATTAACTACTTTCTCGTAAACACCATGGCGGACGATAAAATAAATATAATATTACTGAGAAAGGTAGTAGCTAATGAAAGGTAAAAATACCGACATGTGTACTAAACAAACATTGTCCTATAGGTACTCGAGTTCCCAACAGATTGCCCTCATTGTAAATGTCCGACAACCACGAACATGAAGGCTGTTGGTATCCTTTGTACTTTTTTATATCAGCACACTAGACGATAATATGACCATGAGCCACGCTGCAAATATACTCGAATAGACATAATTTTCGATTAGTTTGTCTGACTCCGACTTTGGGCGACTTGAAGATATAGATAGATATACATATAGACGAACAAAGTTGTCCCCAGTCGATGAATGGTATTGAACAATGTTGCTCTGAACACAGACTTATTATAGATTAAAGAGAGCAAGGGATTTGTTGCAAGTTACGCGAAAACGATTTCTAATTTTTCCCGCTAAACTGATATATAACTTTTAAGGTTTGTAGGGGATGCTATTTGTGAATTTAGCTTTATGTATATTTGAGTTTCAAATATTATATTTATAAGTAGCTATATTTCATCTTAGAAAGTGAAAAGCAGCGACGCAAAGGGCTAGAAGCATTTAGAGAAGAGAGCAGACTGGGTTTTTAAATCAATCAGAAAAGTTTTGTCACTTAACAAATTAAGATATTCCATTTTTTAAACAAGTTATACTCATGGCAACCAACTGTTCAAACTGTGGAAAACGGTCGAACGAAGTGAAGTCTGGAGGTAACAACTATATGCACATTAATTTATGGTTCTTGAGGGCATTTTGAGAGGAATAAAAAGGAATTATACTTCTTGGAAACTAAGAATACATCCATATCAGTATGCATGTGTGCAGTAACCATGCAATGCCATGGCCGATTTGAATACAGAACATATAGACAAGTGAAATTGCCAGTTGCTTTGCATGCCACGATAACTGGAGAGGGCACATATATATGTTAACATGAATGCATGAATACAACCCCCCCCCCCCCAATTATCGGGCTTCCTACGCCACTGATGCTGGCCCAACGTCGTCTTCTTATAGCTGGAATAGAGGATCAAGGCAAAAGGATAGAATTGAAGATTACAGATCCTACTGATCTCAGCCGCGATGTATTAAAGGTAAGTACTCCTTATTTACTTCTTTTACTTATTGGGGGTGTGGTGAAATCGCAATTAAAATGAGGCTACAGACACATTGGCTGTTTTCAACTTTCAGTCTATAATTTAGCCTTATTGTCAGCGGTACTTCGTCTTGGCTACAATTTCTGTTTCGTGCAAATGTTTTGAGGTTCAAGGTTGCGCACGGGTATACCAATCCTGAAACCAATATTCTGTCTTTAGAGTGATACTTGCACTGTTAGGATACCTGAACTTGAGTTTGAGTTAGAAAGTGGCACGCTAGGGGGTCGTTTTACCACCTTGGAAGGTCTTCTCATCAATGTCAAGGAGGATGTAGGTTGTTTTTTTTTCACTAGCATTGACAGAGGTTAAAGTCATTATATGACTGCGTGAAAAATTATACTGTATAATAATGGCACTCTCAATGCTACTCTTCAGTTGGAGGGTCAGAATCCCTTTGGTTCCGGCGATACACCTACGCTACAGGAAGATACCAAAAAACTACAGAAATTCATCTCGAAACTTATGGAGGTATATATGGTGTATCTGTGGGTGGGGATGAATCATGAAGATGCACACCAAGTATTGATAATAAGTGCGCATCCGTCGATCAACTACGAACAATTAACTATCCTATGCCTTCAATACGAAAAAGTTCAACTGACAAATGCCCTTTTGACTGTTTAAGCATGTTTAATTCCTTTAGAAAAAAAATCTAATTTTTTTACTTGAAGTAAAAAAAACGAAAAACCAACCCGAAATATTCTTTGTTCTTTCTCTTACCAAGGTCTATACGTTCATTTTAGGTGATAGAAGGTAAAATTATGAATATACATTTAATTCTGGATGATCCTGCTGGCAACAGTTATCTTCAGGTTCGTTTCTTGTGCAAATAGGAAATAGGAGACCATATGACTGCGGCCTGTATGAGAGAATGAAACATAATATGTCGATATTTTTGACAGTACGTCAATCAATATAAAAGTAATAGCCAGGAAAAAGTATGAATGTGTCTTTCGCAAAACATAATTTTTTTGCCACAGTACAAATTTTTAATTGCTAAAAAACACTAAAACATATGTTGCCAAATCGAATTTATAACACTGTTTATGCGCAATAGTAACGTAAAATAGGACGTCAGTTTGAATAGTTGTATGGTTAATTCCTCGGGAATTTCACGAGGCGGAAATTTTATTCGCGAAAAAATATACATTGCAAAACGCGAGTAATTGCAATCGAGTTTTTCTTTCATTTTGCCGCTTTTATGAACTCACAGGCCAAACGAAATTCTCTCTCGCAATATATTATTGGTCGTTTATGACGCATGTGTAAAATTTTTTTGCGCGAAAATTTCACCAACTGGTTGAAAATCACACCTTAATGATCGTGATTACAAACCGCAAACCAATCAGACTGCAGGGAGCACGAGTGGATTCAAAACGAATATAATAAAAAAAGAAAGAAGATGCAATCCGTCGTATATGTTAATTTATATGGCTTTTTAAAATACTATATCCTATTGGTTGACGAGCGGTCCGTAAAAACCCGTATCCGGACCGTGGTCTCGTGCAGTTCAGCTATAAAATAAACAGATTTTTGACCTCGCTTGTTTGATCTGTACTGTGAAATATCAGACCGAGGTTTTTGCATGTCCATAAAAGCCTCGGTCTGATATTTCACAATACAGACCTCGCGCTCGGTCAATAATCAGTTATTATTCTGCAGAATGTTTATGCGCCGGAAGACGACCCAAACATGAAGATTGTTCACTATGAAAGGAATCAAGAACAGAACGAAGACCTTGGCATCAGTGAAGAAATGATTGCGGAAGAAAAGGCAAGAAGAGAAAAAGCTGAGCAAAACTGAGCATCCAAAGAATAACATCAAATTATATAAATCAAAAGTCTAAACCACACGTTATACAATAGTGAATAAAAACACTGCTTGGGAAAACGCTGATCGGCCTACGTCATTCTCTATTTCAATAAATATCACTGAATTAACTTTTAGTAAGTTAGTATATACATATACTGTAAAAAAATGAAATGTTTCTAAACTTAGTAAAATGACATTCTTTCATGAAAACAATATACATTTGATGACATAAAATCATACTTTGATGAATTTCTGTACACTATATTCGTTAGAAGTTATACTAACCGATTTACTTAGACAAGCAGGCAGACATGCAATATTAATTATTCTGCGTCTACTTCTGTATCTTCATTTGCGCCAGTAAGGTACTTCAGTTAAGTATTTCCTCATACAAGTTTTCGCATTCAACTCAGCTGCAATAATTACGCATAATTTTAGAAGCGTTATCGTTTGTTCAACGAGTTTCAAACGATGATTTTTTTCCATTTTTGCCTTGACATCCCTTTTTTGTGGACTGGATATAGATTTCTGGGGCGAACAAAAATTGTATTATTATTTCACACAAGGAAGTTTCGGCAGTAACTAAATTATCGGGGTACAGTACATTAATCATTCAGTTCGAGAGTTCATCATGTCAGTGCAGTTAACTTTCAAAACTTTTACCATGATACCATCACGACTTGTCCTGATGTATTCGTACTGATGAAGGCCCGGGTTATTAAACAGAACGGAAGCTTTGCAGCTATGTTTGTAGTAATGACTATATGGTGCACTTTGAAACAGATAGCTACATATTGATGTTACAGAACTGGTGTAGTGAAATGCTATATAATGAACTGTATATACTGTATACCAGCAATTTTGTTGATTGTACAAATAAGACCGTAAGGGGAAATCATTGCTTACTGGTCCAACAAATTACGTTGTGTTCAAGCATTGTGAAGTAACGGAAATCCTATATCTTTTTTAATTACAGTCTTCGTCAGCACGTCGACGACATATGAAATTGCACTTCAAAAGTAATGAATGACCAGTGGTAATGACCGTCACGCTGTCCTGTGAAAATATTTGACGGTAGTTGATTATCAAGGTCAATTTGAGTTGTGATTTCGCCGTGTATATAGGAGCGAATTATCTCAGCCAGGCGAGGTAAAAAGCGCATCACATCAAAGGCTTAACCTGATTAGTCTCTTTATTATTATATGCAGTTTTCACCTCGCCCAGCCGGGATAACTCGCTCCATGTAAACAAGCCCTTAGTTTAACAAGATGCAAAAAAAATCGGCAAGGTTTTCTTACAAACAAAATCGCTTCTAAGCAGAGCGGTATCGCAATTCAAAGTTGCTTGATAATCAACTACCGTCACGCACTGCGCGCTTGAAAGCTAAAAGGCGAAATGTCTATTCAGCCTTGCGAGTGACAACTTCTTAATTTTGAGTATCTACTCTTGTTCTTCTGAGTATGCGGCAAACTTAAACATAAACTATTTCATAGGGTCATGATCGTGGACATGTGTGAATTAATATTGTGCCGGTATTGTGCTACTCTGAGTTACAGGGAAAGCCGAAAAATTAGCTTTTTGGTTCCTGATCCGGACGTAGCTTCAGGCCCGAACTTTTCATGTACAGAAACCTAATGTTAATTTTAAGCTAAAGTCTTTGTTTAAGTTCATTTAAAAAGGTGTTTGCGTGCGCCAGAGGAAATAGATGGTCACCGACCATGAAATCGGCGGAAGATGCGCAACGCGAAGAACGCAAACAAATCTTGAGTATAATCATGTACGCAAAGTCAATTATCATTTAAGATTAAACCCTTTTTATTAATGATCTCGCAAAAGTCCCTCTCGCAATCTGGTCGACTTTTCAGCGAGATACTATACAACCCTTCTCTTGTGCCGACCTCATCTGTCTCATGGTCGTCATAGTCTACTCCGAGTCTACTCATACTCCCATATACAGAATTTTCCTTTTAATTAAACTGTGAACCTTATACTGTGAATCCTATTATTCCTATAAACGCAAAGTCGGTCCAATTCAAGTCAAAAGAAAGCCTTCAAAGCGAGTAGTTTTTCTGTCGTGAGTTATCTTCTTAATTTGTGTTTAGGTGGCGTCGAATGCAATTCAAACAATAGATAATGAGAGATAATGGAAATAGTTGTAAATATTATATACTCAATACTACAGGGTGTCTAAAAAAAACACAAATATGCAAGAATATTAATGTTGTTCGGGTTTGCACCATAGTTCAGCTAAAATGACTTTTAGCATTTTAAATGAAGGATTAATTCAATTCCCAGAGGTGCGTATCTACAGGGTGTATCAAAAAAAAGGAGACCTTTAGAAATCAAGCTATTGTTAAAATTTGAATGCCTTTTCAATTGCATTTGCACATATGCTGAACCGTAGTGCGTGAAATATTGATGGCATGCATGCATACATTAGAAAATGAATTGACATTTGTACACAAGATTGTCTGCTCCTGGGAATTTGAAAATAACTTTAACAGCATAAGGAAAATAATGACCCAAAAATATTCAAATGACTAAGCACACTACCAGAACAAAAATGGTTCAACTGACTTCGGAGCAAAGAGTTTTTGTAGTCGTAACTTATACCCAGCCTGCCGTCATCAGAAAAGCAGTTCGCGATATGCACAAGCGTACGGTAGTTTGTGTTGAGAGAAATGGAGGCCACGTTGGAGGTCATGGTCCATGACATTCAGTTCTTTTGATGTTCAATTTATCAGCAATTTTCAATCCGGATCGAAATGTTAAATGAATCTGTGTCAGATCAAGTTGTAATTCATTCCTGACTCATGTAAAGATTTTAATAGGCAGAGTTTGTAAAATGGGATGCTGAGCCATTCCGGATTCAAAGTCAATTCTAACTGATGTGAACAGCCCTAATGCTCGCACGCAGTGTTAAAAATTAATGAACAAATGATTTGTTCATGTTTTGAAGGAACAGCTAAAGCAATTTACCACGCATACTGTTATCGCTTTTGTGCTTAGTCGTTTGTGCTTAGTCATTTGAATATTTTTGGGTCGTTATTTTTCCTTATGCTATTAAAGTTATTTTCAAATTCCCAGGAGCAGACAATCTTGTGTACAAACGTCAATTCATTTTCTAAAGGTCTCCTTTTTCTAATGTATGCATGCATGCCATCAATATTTCACGCACTATGGTTTAGCATATGTGCAAATGCAATTGAAAAAGCATTCAAATTTTAACATAGCTTGATTTCTAAAGGTCTCCTTTTTTTGATACACCCTGTATTGCGCTTTAGAACTGTATTAATGTTCAGCATATTTAAGTGGTTGCGTTTTTCAGCCTTGAGACACCCTGTATTAAACCAAAATATAATTATTGTTTATAGATATAATGAGATGGCAATGAAGCTTAATGAGGCTTACATCAAATTTCCTACCCAGTCAACACGTTAGCCAAAATTGCCTTTAGTATATCAGCAAAATCTTGTTTATCTGCAATGGTTTGTAAATTATTATAATAGAAATTATTCGAGTCTACAACACTTTTATGGTGTTTCTCAACCGAAGTGCATCGCACTGAGATACTTGTGCTAGCGCTTATGATTTCATTCTTGCGAGTGACAACTTCTTAATTTTGAGTGGAGACTTCTCTAAGAATGCGGCAACCTTAAAGCTCTTTCATAGGGTCATGATCGTGGATGCCACATCAAGGAAAGCGCTCGCTCGCCCGCCCCTGACACACTCCATATAACAACGCGTTCTAATAACTCACCAAATCCTTTTGTGAGCTTAGTCTAACTGGAACACAAGATTGTCCACGAGTACTCGGTCGTGATGAAATTACTAAAATATATTCATGTCATAACATTTCGTGTGTATATTGTCGTTCGCGTGTTATTCGCGTCATTTATAACGTAATTTCATGATATCAAGAATTATTCCGACCTCGGTTAAGGTTGTCCGCCTCCGCTTCACTTCGGCATGCAGATAACATTGACCTTGGTCTGAATATTTCTTTTGATATCATGCAAAAGCCGAATCCAATTCCAAATTGTTTAAAACATCGTTCCGGTTACTGACACACAAAGCTTCGAGAAATTCCTGTTTAATTGCATGGGTTAAACTGCTAGGAACGCGTATCCAAAGGAGAAAAAGCGCTTTTATCAGAGTAGCGTAGCCAGCCTGACCATTTGTCCCGCTATGCTAATATTTTGGTGTTCATCGACTGTGAAAACAATGAAATTCTAAAGAAATTTACGTCAAATCATTGGAATTAGACAAAGCTCTTTAGTTGAAGGATAGGGGATCTTAACTTCGTGACAAAAGACAGGGGAAATTAGTTCGCGTAGTTAGCACCGAGAGACAGTGTATATAAAGATCGTGTTTTATTTTTATCACCACATTTGCATCCTGGTCGAACGAAAGAAAGCATAAACACTAAATAAAACGAAAAGGTTGACGGCATATGTATACTGTATACATCAACCATGGGTCGCTTTTTATTACTAGTTTTCTTCTCAGTTTGTTTGACCGGACAAATGTAAGTTTTATTTTAAATTGATTTTGAGGTAACATAATTTCAGTGAAAGCGATAACGCCTGTATTCAATGGATTTTTGCATCGTCATACCATGCCGCGCATATCAGTCTGCTACTGCACGATGCGAGAATGAAACAGCATGCTTATAGCTAAATGTAATATAATATACTGTAATATAATATAATATTAATAATAATTGCTATTACAAACTTATGAATCATTAAGGAAACTCTGAAGCAATTAAACTTTGGACTTCCAAAGTCCAAACCTTCTTCATCTCCAACATACTATTGAAAGTAACTATGTAGACTCATTATAACAGGAAGGTGTGCCTTGCGACAAAGCAGGCCTGTTGAAACACTCAACTCTACATGGTTTCTTGAAAAAATACTGATGAAAATTACATGAGCAGGCTACATAAGACCAGCGCGTGTCTTGGGTGGGCGGATATTTATGTCGGATAGAGTGAAGCAAATAAACTTATATTACATTTTCAAGAATTTATTCGTAGAAAAATGTACCAAAATTTGACGTGTGTTTGATGTTATCATACTAATGACAGTATAATCTAACGCAATTCCCAACAATAGTTTACTTTCTTCCAACACTCGCATCAGGAAACTTGAACCGCATGTGAGTGCATTAGCGATCATGTTGTTTCATGTTAGAAGATGTGTCATACTGTCATTTAAGAACCTTAACG